CCTGGCCCCCCCCGGGCTGGGGGGCAGCGCTGGGCCCGGGGGGGCCCGGGGGGCTCGGGGCGGGTGCGGGGGCAGCACTGGGGGGGGGTCTTGCTGCTCGCGCGGCTGCTGCGGGGGGAGGGCGGGGCCTGAGCTGTCGCGACATAGCGGTGACGTGTCGCGGCGTGTCGTGACATGTTACCCCCACCTTGTGTTCTGTGACCCCCCCCAAAAAGTTGGAAAGCGCAAAATCCGTGTCAGGCTCTGTGTGAGGAGGGAGCTCTGGGAGGGTTCCTGGGGTCGCGGGTTGGGGGGACGGTCTGGGGGTCCCTGATGACCGGGAGGGGACGAATGGCGGCTCTCTGTGGGGCTGGGGGGTCCCGGAGGGTTGGGGGTGTCCCTGGAGGTCTGGGGGAGGTCCCAGAACAGAGGGGGGGGTGAGGGGGGGGGTGTCTCAGGAAGCCCCGACCCCCGAACCACATCTCCCACCATTCCTTGCACCTGATGCTGTCACTTCCGTACGGTGCCGCCATCTTTCCTCCACATGGGCACCGCCATGTTTATTTCCACCACGGAGGCGTCCGTGCCGCTTCCGTCGCGTCATGACGTCATTTCCGCCCTCCACTCTATCCCCTCACAGTGATGGCGGTGCGGGTCCGGCTTCCCCCCGGGGCCGCCCCGGAGCCGCTCCCCGTTCAGCTCCTGCCCTGCCGCATCCAGCACGACGGGCCCGCGCCCGTGGCCGCGTTCCTGCGGGTCCGGCCCGGCCCCGAGGGCGGTGAGGGCCGGGGCGGGGCGGGAGTTTCCCTTTTTGGGGGGCGGTAATTTGAGTTTGGGGAGGATCCTGAGGGAGATGCTGCGTTTAGGGGGGGGGTGGGATTTTTTTGGGAGGGTTTCTGGCGTGGGAGGGCACAGGAGGTCTCTTGGGGTGCTCGGGGAAGGGGTCAGGGGGTCTCTAGGAATGGGGGGGGTTTCGGTTTTGGCGGATCCCAGGTAGGTGTGGGGGTCCCACCCCCCTGACTTTGCTCCCGTTCCCCAGAGCTCTGGGCCTCGTTCCGGGGGCGCCGCTTGGGGGGCCGGGAGCTGCCGCTGCCCCCCGGCTACCGGGGGCTCCTGCTGCGGGAGGGGGAGCCGGGAGAGCCCCCCGAGGTGAGACCGGCGGAGCACAGACCTCCCCAGAACCCCTTCCGTGGGGCAGAGACCCCCTCGTTTTTCCCTCTTGGGGGGGCCCTCAGCCCCCTTTCCCCCCTGACCTTTGCCCTTTGCCTCCCAGGCCGGCTGGGTGACCCTGACGGGGTCGTTCGGGACCATCACAGACTGGGGGGCTGACGCTGCCCCTACCCCCGGCCGGGGCCTGGCCCGGGCCCTGCAGTGGGGACCCCTCGCCCAGGCCGTGAGTCTGCGGGGACTGGGGGCACATCTGGAGGGGGTTGGGGTCATATCTGGGGCTCTGGGGTCACATTAGACAAGGGCAGGGTCACATTTGGGAGCATGGCAGCACATTTGGGGGGGCTAGGGGCACATTTGGGGGGCCCAGCGTCATATTTCGGGCTCTGGGATCATATTTGGAGGTCTGGGGTCACATCTGGGGATATTCTGCCCATGCTGTGAATCCGGGGGTGATGGGGGAGGCCAGGGGGGACATCTGGGGACCCTGGGCTGTCACGGGGTGCTCATGGGGGCTGGGGGTGTCCAAAATTCTCATTTGGGGGGTCCTGGGGTCATTTTTGGGGTCCCAAGGGTCACATTTGGGGGTCTCACCCCAGTTTGGGGTCTCACTCTGTCCCTCCTCCAGCTCCACGCCCCCGTGAACGAGGTCAGCGATGAGGAGGAGGAGCCTTGACAGGCCACGCCCATCAGAGACACACCCAAGGGGTGGGGCCAGTGCGGGCCACGCCCCCACCTCATTAACAGAGCTGGCCACACCCAAGGGGCGGGGCCTATTCAAACCAGAGCGCACCACGCCCCTCCTGGTGTGGGCAGAGCCTGTGGATGCTCCAGCCCATTTTATTTAAAAAAAAAAAAATCCCAAAGCTCTTCACAGGACGCTCCACCCACCAACGAAGCCACACCCACTGTGGGTGGGGCCTCACAATGCAGGTGGGGCCTGGTAACGCCCCACTCCTTTTATGGTCAATAAAGGATTTGCAGCGCCAGGTGTGGGCGGGGCCAGGTGTTGCTTAATGAGCTGTGCCAGGTAACGAGGAGGGCGGGGTGTGGTCGGGGCGTGGCCTCACCACTTGCCCCGCTTGCTCCAGTCCTTGGGGGTGAAGTGCAGGCACTTGGCATCGATGCGCAGGAGCCGCTTCAGCATCGCCCGCTCGTGACCCTCCACGATGTCCTCAGAGAGCGTCAGGATGTACTGACCCTGCAGGGGACAGGTGGGACAGGTGTGTGCAGGTGTGTCAGGATGTACTGACCCTGCAGGGAACAGGTGGGACAGGTGTGTCAGGATGTACTGACCCTGCAGGGAACAGGTGTGTGCAGGTGTGTCAGGATGCACTGACCCTGCAGGGCACAGGTGGGACAGGTGTGTCAGGGTGTACTGACCCTGCAGGGCACAGGTGTGTGCAGGTGTGTCAGGATGTACTGACCCTGCAGGACACAGGTGGGACAGGTGTGTGCAGGTATGTTAGGATGTACTGACCCTGCAGGGCACAGGTGGGACAGGTGTGTCACGATGTACTGACCCTGTACAGATGTGCATAGGTGAGGTACAAATTTGTGTGTGGGACTCAGGTGTCTAAATGGGAGCACACGGGGATATTTTATGGGTCCCCCCATATATTTGGGCCCCCCAGGTGTGTGGGAACTCACCTTGTAGTAGTTGATGAGGTTCAGGTACTGCAGCGTGGAGATCACGTCCTCCTTCTTGATACTCGTGATCTCGCTGATCTCACTGGGGGAGGGGGGAAATGAGGGGGGAGCTGCACCCCCAGAACCCCCCCAAACCCCGAGACCCCCCCCCAGACCACTGTGACCCCTCCAGGAGCCTCAGAATCCCCCAAAACCCTCAGACCACCCCAGAATCCTCAGACCCCCCCCCACCCAGACCCACCTGACACCCCCAGAGCCCCCCCAAGATTGGGGAAATGAGGGTGCGGAGCCTCGAGTGTGTGGGCGTGGCTAACATTAATTAGGGTGGGTGTGTCCTGGAGAAGCTGCCACGCCCCCAATGTTGGGCATTGATGGGTGGTGGGTGGGGCTATAAGGGGGGGGTGGGTACTTTGTGGGTGTGGCCTAAGAGGACGTGGCTTCCATCAGGTGGGCGTGGTCTGGATTGGCTGATTCGCGCTGTGTAGGTGGAGCTTTGGGGAAGGGGGCGTGGCCTCGGGAAGGGGGCGTGTCTCACTTGATGGTGATCTGGGGCCGCTCGCCCGCCTCGGCCTTGAGCCCCATGAGGATCTCCAGGATGGTCTGGGACCAATAACTGCGGTACGAGAGCAGCCCCAGGTCCGAGAGCGGCTTCTCGGGGGTGCCCGTCTTGCCCTCCACCTTGGAGAGCTCGTAACCTGTGGGACAGGTGAGGGACAGGTGAGGGACAGGGCTGGGATAGGTGAGGGACGGGTGAGGGACAGGTGAGGGACAGGTGGGACATGAGGGACACTGACTGAAGGGGGGCCCTGGTGGGGGCTGGATTTGGGAGTCCACAGGGGGATTTTTGGGGGTGGAATTTGGGAGTCCCCAGGGGAGTTCTGGGGGTGGGATTTAGGGGTCCCGAGAGGGATTTTTGGGGGTCCCCAGGGGATTTTTGGGGGTCACTGACTGAACTCGATGAGCAGTTTGCCGTAGCCCCGGCGCTGGTACGGGGGCAGGGTCAGGATGCAGGCCACGTTGTAATCCTCAGTGGATTCTTTCTCCTGCAGGAAATCCCCCAGGATTGGATCCCATACACCTCTGGGACCACCCCAAAAACCCCTGGGATTGCACCCAAAAACTGCCCAGGATTGGATCCCAAAAACCCCTGGGACCACCCCAAAATTCCCCAGGATAATCCCAGGATCCCCAAACCCACCAGGATTAGCACCCTAAAAACCCCTCTGGAGCCACCCCAAAACCCCAAAATCCCTCATGGAGCTCCCGAAGTCCCTCAAGAACCCCTAAACCCTCTGCAGGACCCCCCGGCCCCTCCCCACGTCCCCTCTTTCCCTCCCTCCCTTCCTCACCCTCCAGGACCCTTCCCCACTTCCCCATCCCTCTGTGCTCCCATCCACTCCCTCCAAACTCTCCAAATCCTCCCCAAGCACCCCCCCCCCCCCCAGAAGTAGCCCACGATGTGGAAACCTTTGCAGTCGTACTCGGTCATGACGTAGAACAGGAAAGGGTCGGTGTCGTAGTAAAGGGTTTTGTGGTCC